AGGCAGCGGTACAGCAAAAACTACAGATCAGTAGCACAATTATCTGGGTCATTATTACAGCAAATCCAGTAACTGAGTAGCACAGTGATGCAGGCTGAAACAAGAGCAACTCCAGGAACTCCCCAACACTGGGCCAAACTTCCTGGCTGGATGCACAGACATGTGACCAKGGGTGGCAGGCAGGCTGGCAGAAAGCAGAGCAAGGATTATTTTCTGGGCAAGGAGCTGGGGGCAGCCAGCAAGGTCAGGGAATTGGGCTTTCCCAAGCAGACTGTTCTCATTTGTTGCTGAGTTGTAGAAGCTCTACTGGGAATTTCTAATGGACCTTTACAGCCCATCTCTTCACAGAATTTTTTCATCTGTGTGCAATGTGTACACAGGTTTAGGAGTAGTGATGCAGCCTAGTATAAGAGCCCATAAAGCAGTCAATGCTGTGAAGACATGATAGCTTCAACATGCAATCCCCTGGGATAACTGGAAGATCTAGAAACCAGGGGTCCAATTGTTCTGGAAGTCTTTTTCTTCTCAGTAAAGGGAATTGGGGTCATGATGACTGCAGGCTGTGGAATTAAGTATTAAGGTCCCCCAGAATTTGTCAGCAGACAGTCAGGTCAGAACTGATCTCCAGATGTCAATCCTGCTAATATAAGAAGAATTTAATATCTTTTGCACTTTAAGCATAGGAGACATGATGCTTTACAGTCTTAAGTCTGAATTAAATGGCACCTTCCTACTTCGTCATATTCCAGCTTTAGTCTGGATGGAAGCCCTCACGTGCCCCATGGTTCTGGTGTCCTGTAGAWGCTGAGCTGTGGCCCTGAGATCACTACAAACAGAAAACACTTCAGTTGCTTTTGCCAAGCACAGTTACTGCCTCTCCTGACAGAGCTGGAAGGAGGCACATGCAGGATCTGAGCAGGTTCAGAGGACAGGATCTGTGCTGTAGACCAGGCCTAAGGGTGGCCCAGACTCTCTGTGCTAACCAGGTAATTTGCTCTTTGCCTAGTTTCCCTTGTTTTGGTTCAACATGCCTGCGATCCTGAAGGGCTGGATGGATAGAGTCTTGGTCCAAGGCTTTGCTTACGATTTGTCAAAGGCTTATGATGGTGGTTTGCTCCAGGTATGGTTTTGGAATTGTTTTATTAAGGTCAAGGTTTGCACCATGTTCTTTGGGCCTTGTTTATTCTTTCCCATTGTAGTTGTTTAGAGCTCTCRCTTTACACTGTGTTGAAGTAATGTATCAGCCCTGCTTCACACAAGGGTGTCAGCCATATGATTCCTTTTTTTTAACCTATCTCTTCCCAAAGCCCAGACGCACAGTGTACTGTCTAATTGTATGACATCAATCCTTGCCTCAGAACTGCTACTTTATATAGGGTCTGGAAAAGAAGAGTTCACCCTCTCCCCTAGAAATCCATGCTGTCCAGATTCCCCTGAATATCTCTTAAACTTTTCAGTTACTCTTCTTTAAACATGTCTTAATCAATCACCACTTTCCTAATTCTAGGGCAAATTATCCCTGTTCTCTTTCACCACGGGAGGAGGCCAAGAGATGTATTCAAAGCAAGGTATCGGTGGTGATATTCGCTATGTCCTGTGGCCCATGCAGGTAAAATATATATATATATGCACATTTGGTTGTTGTTTATGTCAATTTTTATTATTCCACTTATTTTTAACAATTGTTTTATTGTTTATTTTATAGGAAATATAATAAATAAGTAAGTTGTCCATTTCAAGAATCTGCAGGTTGTAAAATGTTACCTAAAACCCTGGGATTATGTTTAAAGGCCACAGAGTTTTAAAGCTGTTTTGTCCTCCTTCCTCTGGATCAGAATCTAGAGAAAGCTTATACTGACAGCCTCTTCAGTTTCCCGGCTGTTACAGGACTTCCTTTAGCTCAGCCATGCATGCTTTTTGTTCACCATGGTTACCCAGTTCCTGTAGGATGCCGGGCAGGAGGGGAGCCACACATTACCCTGGCAGTAACAATCAACACACAAAAGTTAGCATTCCTCCTCTAATTGCTACTCTTTTATCAGAATTACTAAGCATGGTTTGGAAAATACAGGTGCTAAGACAAGTTTTGCCAGCTGTTTCCTGATACAATACAACAGATGAGCTAAAATTCCATGGTCTTCTCCTCACATGATTACCAGCTGCTTGTTCTTGAGGAGCTGTCCACCTGCAGAGCTCGAAGGTCAACATGGCAAAAACGAGAAACACACCTCTAAAGTCAGAAATACACAGAGGGAAAATGGCAAGTTCAGCTGATTCCACAGGCACTAGCCAGCCTTCCTAAAGGATCGTTTGGATAAGCCAGAGGCAAAAGGTTAACACAAAATCATCTTAGAAGTAAGTATGAAACACATTGCAGTTAGAGGACAATCTGARGAGTTTCAAACTGCACAATAAACTTTAGGCCATCTCTGATCGTTGCAAATTGAACAGTGAACAGCTGCCAAAGAGGACAGTTCTGTGGCATTAACAGCAGTWAAAAACAAATTCCAGAGAGCAGAGTAAGTGAAGTTGCCCTTGCCTCTTTCAGAGTCTTGTAKGCCATTCTGCTGAATGCCTTCAATAGTGACTGCCTGGATAGGTAGTGAACTTCTGCAATTTATTTTGTTTCTTCTGATAAATGCACAGGTGTAGAGAACCTGACTGATATCAGATTAGAGAAACATTTTTCAGATTTGGATGTTCCATGTTCTTCAAGTGAAAGTAAAAGAGTAACTATTTCCTGAGGAATTTTTTTGTTGTTGTTTTCCATCCAGCATGGAATCATGCACTTCTGTGGTGTCAAAGTCCTTGAACCTCACATCTGTTATGCTCCAGAGAATGTCTCTGAGGAGAAGAGGAAGGAGATGCTGGTGGCCTGGACCCAGCGCCTGAAGACTCTTTGGAAGGAAAAACCCATAGACTGCTCTCCTGAGTGGTATTTCAAGTAGTCTCCAGGTACAAGACTATGGAGAGAAGATTTTTTTCTCCATTCTTTTTCATGTTCTATCTAAATACCTGAACATTAATCTCCTAAATCAAGTATATTTTAAGAATCTTGAACACTACAGCTAGCAGTTTAACTGACAATATAGCATTTATCTTCACTGATTCCCAAAGGATTCCCTTCAAGGATGGGTGCAATACATTTTATGAAGCTCTCCTTGCTCACATAAACATAATGTCATCCTACCTCCTTGTGATTGATAACACATGTGGTATTTCACAACAGATTATACCATGGTTGTGAAATACTAAAGTCCATGTTATATTGACACATTTTATACCAGTGCCAAGTTTTTTTCCTTGACCAGGAAATATGGTGACCACAACCAATTTGCTATTCAAAAGCCCTAGACTGGTTGTGAGAGATCTACACTTGTGCCTTGGAGTTATGCAATGAGGTCATGAGTAATGCTTCAAAGGATGTGCCCAGTGTCTCAAACAGCTGGAAAGCCTTGTGGGCAGCCTTAGGCTTTTACACACATTTACAAAGCAATCGTAAAGCTGTAACACATAACAAAAAAGGGAAAAAATAAATGCAAATTTCATGTATTGCTGTGTGCATGAATTGCCTTCTTTTGTAGACTACAGCTCCTATTTGTAAAGTATGCAGGCTTCCCATAACCCAAGCAGAGAGAAAAAGGAATTTTAGCTGCTTCCTAACCCCTCACACCAGTCAGTGGTGGCGTTTGGGTCTGGAAGGTGTTTGCTTCCTCTCCAGCATCGGTGTCCATGGGCTTCCCTGGAAATCTCCAGCACCAGCAGCTGGAGAGGCAGAGCACCAACCCAAAAACCTGCAGAGCAGTGTCTGTCTGTAGGCCAGGAGTTATGGGACAAAAGGATTGTCTGGATCTTAACATCCAGGATTTTTACCTGAAACTGTAGTGGGATTATTTTTTATGCTTGAGACCTCGTGAGGCCTCTGTTTTTTTCTATGGCAAGGGGTGGGTTTCTCACTCAGCTACTGAATTTCTTGCTTTGATCAGCTGACTTAAACTGCTGCTCTTGCACTTTGATATTAAAAGAATGTGGCCTCAATAAGAACCCATCTCTTGGTCACTGCCAAATGACACCTAGGCCTCCGTGTGTCTGCCATACCTTCTTAGTGCCAGTCTCACAGTTCCTGAAGGGCTATTTGGATAATAAACAGGCCGAACTCAGACTCTGGAGTGGCAGTGTAAGCTGATACACCAGACTGGCAATTGCCACTGCAGGGAAAGGGTCATATGTTGCTGTTTGCTCCCATATGAAGTGAAGGGCTACACCTAGAAGCGACATTTCCCAGGTGGCAGAGCTGCCCCAAGGGGGTGCTGATGTCTTCTGCAGAGCAGCAGAAGTCCTTAGGTTACACAAGCAGGAAATTTGCTTTGACTCGATAGCTCTGTTATTAGGAAAAGGAAAGTGAAAGGTGAGAAGAGGAAGAAAATGTTACACAATGAAGTTGTGGGGAAAGCASAGTCATGCCTGAAAGACTCAAGGAAAACAACTTTAAATTACCTGAAGAGAAATTAGAGGACACATTTTTAAACTGCATAGAAGAGAAATCATCCTATATTCACTATATTTACTTAGCAGACTATTCAGTGGAGAAGGCAATTGAGATGAAAGCAGAAGTTCCAACTGTCAAGCCAGTGTTATTGCTTTGGATCAATTGCAGAACTTAGTGGGTTAAACTAAAAGATGAAGAATGCCAGACTGACCTGTAAGTTGAGGATCCTCTGCTTGACACTATTTGGCAGATGCATGTCAGCTCCCACCCACATGGTAGCACAAAGTGCCTGTATTAACCTGGATATATGTAGTGTAAGTACCCATGGCAGCTKTGTAAGGTCAGAACAAGGAGCCTGAAATCCTGAGTTTTTTGTCCACAGTKGTTATAGGCCAGTAWGAGCAACTTCCTTTGAATAYTGTCCTTGGCTCTAACRCTATTTGGTTTTGGGGGTTTCCTGAGATACAGATTTTTTTCTATATTTACAAAATCAGATAATAAATATCTGCYCTGAATTTTGTACACATTCTCTTGAATTCATGTTAACTTGAAGSAGCCAAAATATTTTGGCAAAATTTAGCAGCTCAGCTTTTTCCTTGCATGAAGCATTGGAGTGAGGAGGGAGCCTTGGGAGGGGAAAGCAACTTTTTCCCAATAGCTCTGTTTGAATTCTCCCAGTGAACAGTAATAATCAGTCCCATCTGTTAGTGCTCAGAGTTATCAGTCACATATGTTAGTGTAGTTATGAGTCACCTCCCCTCCTAACAAATCTCCTCCCCAGGCCATGGAATCCTCTCCTGCTCAGTTCTTTCAAGAAAAGTCACTGACTGGCCCCTGGCCACCCTTGCTGCTCTTCTCTGAGCTCCTCTAGTTTCTCTGTCCTGTTAATGAGGGGTGTGTATGCAGAAGTACATGCTGAGTCAACTCTCTAACTTTTAGAATCACATGACATTCTCTGCTCCTTTCCTAATAATTTCTGACATATAGTTTGCTTTAGCTGATGTTTTCCTCTTTTGTAACACCAGATGTTGGCCATCCATGATRATGATCAGCTCAGGGCCCATTATTTTGTGCACCAGTTTAAGGTAAATTTTCTTCTTGTGTGCACCCATTTAATAATTTCAATTTCACTTTGTCTCATTACCCAGTCAACCATTATTCCAGAACTCTTCAAAATCAATTTCTTTTCAGATCTCCTCAGAAAACTCTGTAAAGGTAGCAGAAGACTCTACAAATTTTCCAGTGGTGCAATGAAATCTGCAAATTTAATCCTGCTGGTWATAAAACCAGCTATATGTAAAATGCCTTTTGTTTTTTTAAGACTATGTATTATCATTTTTGTCCATCAATTTTAATATGATGGCTGAGATGTTTAGTACAAAGTATGTTTGGTTGAGATGAATGCAAGTTTCATTTAAAGTAAAAACAATGAGCTTATTAAATTTTCATTAGTACTAAAATTGAAGACTTCWGCTCACATAAATTCATTATTGTGAAAAGCACCAAAAATGTACCAATCTTATTGTCCATTTCAAGATAACCTTTCCTTCTCAATTAGAATTAAAAAATCTCACTGTAAATTCAGATTGCACTTCTAGATCGGTTTATTTTCCCTATTCATTTAATGAAGGGCAACATTGACCTTTAAGCACATATAAATAAATGACTATTTCTTTCTTTGCTTAGTGCTTGTTGGTAAATCACCACTGAATGAGACTGACACCTTTTTAACCAAGCAATTCTTACAAATTCAGCCATCTCTCTTCCTGTCTTCAGCCCCATACACAATGYAAAGCTCAAAAACAGAGGAACCAATCCAAACAAGCCAGCTCACCAAAGAAATAAAGAAAAATCCTTAGAAGTGAAATGTTATCAAAAGATTTCTGTAAAGTTTGGGATTGTAAAAGACCAAAACTGCGTAATTGGCCCACCAGAGATACCTGGTCTGTATTTCCATTTGCTATATTTAGGTGACAAATGTCCCAKACTCTCCAGATTGCAGGTTCAATAACGCTCTCCGCTCTCCTTGTGATGCCTCACGGTGTGGATGAGCACGAAATTGCTGCATTCTAAAAATTGCTGCATTCTAATTACAGCGAGCTTAGTTTGGCAAGTCAGCATTTGGTGCTGAGTCTCCTCTTTACAGTGGGTGCGATCAGCCCTTGCAC